CCAGGAAGTTAAAAGAAATCCCAAAGGCCAGGATAGGCAAACAACTTATTGATGCTCTGAAAATTACCAGCTCCAGTTCCACAACTGTGCCGTTTGAGGCTGGGCGGAGGGTCACACGCCTTAGGAGAAGGAAGAATGGAAAAGATAAAAGTGCCAAAAGCAGGAGAGGGTCAGGAGACCAGCCAGGGGTATGAGTGTAACACCGCCATGAGATTCCGCTGTTGGTTTTGTCCAAGTGCAGCTGGCAAGAAATCATCTTTTCTGATATTTTCTCAATTCCTTGCTTTCAAAACTGACCAAACATTTTATAATTAGATGCATGATTAGGCTGGAAAAAGAAGATAAAACAGGATAAGATATTCACATTAAATTGCTGAATAATCTGCTTGGAAAATCTGTGACGCTGGGGTGAGCATTTCTTCTAAAATCTCTGTTCGTGATTTGTATTTGTCTGCATTTCCAGCAATCTAATAACTCAAATTTGGGACTGTGGAGAGACAGAGAATTTGGGGTTATGCCAATAGGAATGAATCAAGAGCTCAAGAACTTTCTGAATCAGTTTTCTTAGGCCATTTTTATCAGAGTTGGAGTAAAGAAGGTCGTCTTATTTCTCCATAGAATTTTGACTCTCAGAAATAAGACAGTGGAACTCTCTCAATTAATTTATTGTAAAATATGGAAATAAAGCTTTGCATAAAAACTACAGAGTGGATTTTCTTGACATACCAGCTGAAGTTATGTTGCCTGCATCTGTGTGATTGCTGAGCTTTGCTCTCAGAACTAATAGTTCACCATTTGCAGAAGAGGTTCGTAAGACAGACAGCACGAGGGAGACTGGGAGGATGAGAGACAGAAAAAGACATGGAGAGAAAAAAAAAGAAATGGAGCAAAAACCCCGAGAAAAATGTACCACTTGTTCCAGAAAGAAAGTAACGATCTAAAAAAGCACAAGTAACCTTTCCCATTAGTGTTGACACATTGACACCCACACACAAGGGGGAAAATGTGCCAAAATTCCAG